GTCTTTTTATTAGGGTTCCCTAGCCTTTAGCGTGAGCCCTTGCCAGAAACAATTAAAATTTTAACGAGCTACTTCATGGATAAATTTACGTATGTGAGCGAGCACTTACATTCCGTTTGTTTACACAGACTTCGATTACAATCGCAGTCAAATTACGATTTCTGTTCGGAGCGTAATATACTCACTCATGTTTTATTTTTGTTTGCGGCTTGGACAAATGTTCTGTTTCATTATTGTTATGTTTAATTGACAATTAAACTGCGGCTCTGAGGCTCGTGAGTGGCTAGGCTTTGCTTTGCTTTGGTCTGGCTCAGTATTAGTGTCAAGTTCATTAAACTTGACCCGATTCCGAGACAAGACTCTTAATTGTCTAGGAAGTTTTTTTTTTTTTTTTAATTTGGGCCTCGATTTTGTTGGCGGGGAACACACATTTCAATCAGCCAGCAAACCTTCGAAATATCGATATGCCGGAGAAATGCATTTCACATATTCGGAATGAAACTCAATGGAAAAATTTGAAAGAAAAAAGATCCAGCTGCATAAATTAAGAGAGAGACTGGACTCGATCGAAGCTGCGATCGGAGCTGCTGGCCTGCTGATCTGGTCTGGGCGTAGGGAAAAGTTCAAAAACCGGTAAATCGGACGAAAACAAAAATAAATATCATTGAAGCCGATGTCGATGCTGAAGCCAAAGGCAGAGCCATTAATTACATTCATCTCGCCGTGGTCGCGTGTAACTGTAAATGTATAGCATTGGAGATAGCTTTTGGCATCCATCGATCGGGAGCTGGTCGGGATGTTTGTTTTTTTGTGGCCAAGACTCAAGTGCATAAAAATGCATTTCATGTTTCGTTTCCTAATGCCCGTGCTTCCCAAATTAAACCAAACCAAACCAAACTAAACTTAACCCAACCCAAACCAGTGCGGTTTCAAGGGCACTCCAATTGGAGCAGCGCCCAGGTTTTGGGCTTAAGCCGAATGCCCTTCCACCCACAATCGCTGATATTATTTGAACCTAATTGAGGCCAGTTTTTGTCCGTTGCCTTGGACACTTAACCAAAATTCATAAATCAGCATTTACCGGCACAGGCGCATTGAGCACAAGCTGCGAACAATAATCAGCTCTCGTTCAATTTCTTTAATTTATTTGCAATGCAATAAACATTCACGCTCATTTAACTGTGCTTTCTTCTTTCTTCGCTTTAAGGATCTCCCCACTTTAACAATATTAATTTTTCTGAGAAGCCTTTCTGTCGTTGTGCGTTGATTTGGTTTTCGCTTTTCGATTTTCGTTGGTCATTGCCCAATTTAAGCCGCTTTTAGCCCTCTTCCGTATGGGTGTTTATTTTATACTTTTTTATAGCCGTTACTTGTAGGATAAATATTGGTGAAATATTTTATTTGCGAAAGCAGTTTCGATCGGCTTCGATCCAATACTAAATCTAGCGATTTTCCTTTTTTTTTTATTCCGTTTGAAAATCAATGTATTATAGTAAAAGGGATAATTTCTTTTTAATACACATCTGACTATATCTTTTCATTTAGTGTCTTACTACCTTTTGCAAAGTTTCACATTCTGTAGCGATGTTTTTAATTACTTAATCTTTTATTTACACTCTTATGTATTTTGTAAACATTTGAATTAATCAGCTATCATATTTTTGATATATGCTGTCAAAACGTATACAAGTTGCAAAGTTTCATCACTTCCGCATTAACACGCGACCAAAGAAAACTTTCCCATGTATAAATTGCATATTTATGGATATTCGTTTTGATTAAATCTGCCCGATTGCCACACGATTTTCATCTGAGGGCGCTGACCAATCTGCTCCAGAGTATTTCTGTGCAGCTCGGAATGTAGGTCAAACGAGATGTAAGAGTGCGTCAGGAGGTTCAATGACGTCAACTTACGACGGTAATGGCTAAGCGTTTTCACAGAATTCGCCCGAGACGAGGCTGAATCTTGAATTAATTCAAGTGAATTTTTTTTTGGGGGAAATACCTGAGGCTTGGACTTTTCGTTTTTGTCGTCTCGTCTTGTTTAACTTGCTTAACTTCCGTTGATGGGAAAAATGCGAATGAGTCGAACTATCATAGTTGGCAAAGTGCTAAACGTTTTAGCCGTAAATTCGCAATTGACCATTACCCAGCCACATAAATTGCTAATAATAAGCTGGCCCGCCCGACTACCAATGAGCCAACGGAATCAAATCAAATCACATCCCATTCCATTCCATTCCCAACGAGATTATGCGAGAAGCATTCGCGTCCACTCGGAAGCTCTCCTGGCTCATTGACCCGAAACGTGGAATTTTACAGTGTGTGCGCATCCGTGGACAATTCATAATTCCCAGCGCAAAGCAAAATGAGCAAGAACGTCTAGACCAGAGCCACCTACAGACACCGAAATCCATATAACCAATTTTTATTCGTTTCCAGTTCAGATCGTAAATCACTCGCCCAATAGAAACACATCAAAATCAGCAAACTCGCGAAAATATATTAATTGTTTTTTTGTTTGGTTTTTGCTTTATTTTGTTTTGTTTTGACTTGGAGCATTAGGCAATCGAAAGGCGTAGCGATTGAAATGCAAAGCCAAAGCGGTTGCAATCGTAAATCGAAATTAAAATTAAAATTTATAATGGAACAATTGTGATTTTGTTGATAGTCTCGCGTTGATTTGATAGCTGTCTATACTATATGTCCACTGTTTGTTTGTCCTACTGTTTTTGTTGCTCGTGCGTTTGTTTATTTCCATTTGATTTGTTTCATCTTCCGATACGGAAGACGACACCTGACTCAACGAGGCTTAGCTCCACTCAGCTCAGATCCGCTCTGCTCTGCTCTGCTCCTCTCCTGTTTGTTGTTGGCTTGAAATTGTCGCAGCGAAATTGATCGGTTTATGAGGTTTTCGTTTTTGGCAAATTTCAATGTCACTGGCACTAATTCGCTGTATGCATATTGATTTGCCTCGTTCGATTAATTAAAATGTATCAAAAGATGATCACTGAGTGCGATTTGAGCGGCAAATCATTCTCGTTAAAATCTGATAGAATGTGAAATATTAGTGGAAACTTGTCTTTTAAGTTTGCTTTTTGAAAATAAATCATTTTTTTAAATTAAATTCACTGCACTTTATTTTATTAAATAGTTTTTACAGTATCCCATTTTGTTTTGTTTTGTTTTGAATCACAAATTTTGCACCAAGGATTAAGTGTTTTTAAACCTCCTCCATTTATATATTTCCATAAATGCATTATTTGGCTTGGTTTTTTTTTTTTTTTTGTTACCGGCTGCAATTGTTATTGAACATGGCACCAGAAAATGTCGTTGAACCCGAAAAAGAGGAGGCAATTGTTATACCGGGCCACATGCAAGGCGCCGTGTCGGCCTTTTTTCATATTCCCCTATATGCATGAGGTACCGATTTAATTCAGCGTTCTTCTTTCGATTCATGTGACGTGTATGAGTAGGCAAAACACTCAATTATGTGGCATGTTAAACAATGCTCTCCATAGAAGTCGATTGTTTTAATAATTTGTCAGTAGCAGTAGCGGCAAAAACAAAACCGCCAGAAGCCTCGGGCAACGCACTTCGTGAAGGTCGACCGACTATAATATTTACTTGAATTAGTCAAATAAGTTTCAAATATTTAACTGACATATCCGATAAAGACTACAGTAATTAACGGTGGATATTTGTTTTTCGAACGAATTTGACACAGGAAGCGAACATTCAATTAGTTTAGCCAGTCATTAATTGGCAACTAGAGTGCGTATAATTTATTCACTGGTATTGCACATATTTCAATCGGGTTAGGCTAATTGAAGGAGACGTCGAAATTTAGTTGAATCGTTACGGTTACTTGCTGTCCATAATTTGATTTCTATTCTAGGACTAGTGATGAGCTTAATCGATTAAAGTGCTGATATAGTAGCAAGTATTTCCCATTTAAACAAGGAAATATTTTAAAATTAACATTTTTTTATAAGTTTAAAGTAATATAACAACTTGGAACTATTAACAGTAGTAACCGTGTTTAAAGAGGATATTTTAATATAAGCTTATCTTTTAAATTTTCATATTTTTATCACTATTTGTAATTCTTTATTTCTGTTTACTTTCTATTTCCAGGTAAGTCCCGATGTCTTAGTATTTAAAGAGTTTTGGAGACTGGAAAAAGTAATAAGTGCGGGTAATCTGATCTATCGGGGCAAACACCTGTGTTTATGTGTGGATTCCTATTTACACAAGATGTCGCAGGAACTATATTTGGTCAACAGCTGGAGCCCAGTGAATCTAATCATTTTGTTTATGGAATACGGTTAATACGAATTTTCACAGAATTTTCCCCTGAAATTCCTAGGTGCATGTAATTTAGGTCACAATCTTAGACACATTCCCTTTTCTGGGTCATAGTTTGCCATTTTCCATTTCCCTTAAAGGATTATAATCATTGTTTTTCAGCGGGTAAACATTCCGTATCAATGACGGGTTCAATATCGTTCACAAGAACTTAAGCGGAGACATTTAGAAACGCATAATTTGATTTCCAGCGACGCGACAACGACGAAGTTATTTTGGTTACGTGAACAAATTAATACAACCTGACATTTTGTCAGTAACAGCGACGAGATAATTGTTTTTAACTCGATTTGATCTTTGCAATCAACGCACTTTGTGACTAATTGTTGTCGTAATTGCTAAACTCTGTGCAGTACATCTCGGAGCGATCTAAGAGAGCATGATTTAAGGCCGAAGAGTGAGCCTGCTCTTCGCGATCAGCTGTTGGACTTCTTGGCAAAGTTATAAGAGACTAAGACTGAGACTGAGCTGGGCACACTCTTAAGACGGCTCAGAGAGTCAGAGAGAGAGAGCAACGGCAGCGAGCTTGACTTAAATGGTAAATGGCAAACACAGTGTGCGAGTGTGTTGGTGCGCTGGCAAGCCAAGCCAAGCGGTTAAAACCTTTCTATAAAAATTTCATAAACGTATCAGTTGTCTGCGAAGCGGTGCACAAAACGGACGTGTAAACGGAAGCCGCGCGAAAACGGTTCGGAAGACGGAATTGCGCCTGTACACGACGGCGCAGCAGGAAATCGAATTGATTTTGAATCCGAATCCAAATCGGCTAAAGCTCACCGACAGCGCGCTTACTAATTGTGTTTCGTTCAACGGATTATCCACTATCCAACTATTACACTATCTAAAAACTCGCTGCACGCTGCGGCGCATGCGCGACCTGTCTGTGTTGGTGGCATACTTCTAACAACAACCAGTGTTTCCTTTGTTCAAAAGTGCCTTGACTAGAGCAGCAGCAGCAACAGCAGCAGCAGCAGCCCCACTTTGATATGGCCAAGTGGCAACGAGAGCCGCAGCAGTAGCAGCAAAACTGGAAAAGGTACATGCCCGGGAAAGCTGCCATATGCGCACCATTCCCCAAGTGGATCCGAGATCCGAAAGAGATGGGAGCAGAACTTTCTATTTTCTTTACTGTTTCGCGTGTGCTTCGCTGGTCAAGTTAGACCCAAGTCAAACATATTCATATTTTCTTTGCCCATGGCACACGCTTCTGGAATTAGAATGGCCGCTTTCCGTGCGGAATACAAAGTGTAGCTTATTTCGTAAGAGAATTCCTGGGAGTCGCCGCGACACGTTATGGCTTGATCGGCGGAGGGGTTATGCAACGTCGCCACAGTGTCGTCCTCAAGTTTTTCGCGAACTTTATCGTTCGATATGTGCTAAAATGCACATGCTGGCCAGCCAAACGGGGGCGATACATTTGTGGGAGTACGGGTTACGGGTTGCGGGTTACGGGTTACGGGTTACGGGTTACGGGTGCGCCGAGTTCCGTGCACATGCTCAGTTTTTCCACAACGACTGCAGTTCAGTTTGTCGGTGATTTTTTTTTTTTTTTTTTTTTTTTTTCGAGCCACCATCCCGGGCCGCTGAAACCATATCAATTTTGACTTACGTGACTCGGACAGACTGCACCATTTCGCACATATTCTGTGCGTTCGAGCTAAGGTCTAAATTACGGTTCGAGATTGATATTAGCAAGCTGTAGGGCCTAGAGCCCATTCTTTTCCTGCCTTCTCTCCTTCTACCATGGTCATAAATTTCCTGCACGATGAGTCACAACCATCAGTCGGAGTCGGTTAACAACAACAGTGGCAGACAGCATACAGCAGACAGCAACAACAACAGCAGCAGCAGAAAAAAACGATAAAAATACAGATACAAAATGTTCAGTTGAAAACACATGAAAATTGCTTTCAAAGGTATTGAGTGCGGAGTGCCCAGAAGAGCAAAAGAGCAAAAGAGAGACGAAAAAGCTCATTGTTAATGGTGTATATTCGCTGAGTTGGTATCTGTGGTCCGCTCATTGTTGTTGGCAAAGCGAGCGGTAACCTCTGCCAGCGTTCCCCGATTATTATCGCTGACATTTTGCCATAAGTGCTGGAGTAATTTGCAGTCAAACTGTTCCTCATACCAATTGAATGGCTTCGCTCTGCATGTCCAGCCACTTCAGGCTCACAAAGATTTCCATGAACTTGGTGGGAAGTTCCCCGCAAAGATTGCAGTTCTTCGCGGAAACATCTCATGGCAAACATGGTTTCTACTCGAAATTTAGTCATCGATTTTTCGTTTAACAAAATTAAGTTAGTCATCTCTCTAAGACTGTTGGGTTTTTTTTTTTTTAAATGACGTGGTGCTCAAAGAGTTTTTAAATAAACTAGGAGGACTTCTAAACTATTTTTTCCAAAATGAATTATTATTCATAAATTGAAAACAGTGAAAAGTCCAAGATATTTTGATTGCACTTACGCTTCAACAAGTTTCGGCTTAAAACGTTTAGGGTTAGATAAATATAAGTTAGATCTTCGAAATTTTGAAAGTTAAAGATTTTGTTCATACTTTGCTAAGGTAACGTTTATTTAGCACAGGGCATACCAGTTCATTACTAAGTAACCACCTCGGGCTTTAAAATAGAAGTGTAAAATAGGGAGAGCACTGAATCTAGTGGAATGCCATGGGTGGAATGAAATGGCTGCTACTAAATTTAGTCAGTGGTCTCGTTACCATTGTGCAATGACCTAAATCATGGACACAAAATCAAAGCCAAACTCATTTTTGGCCATCAGTTGGTCGTTTTTTTGTTGTTTTTGTTGTTTTTTTTTTTTTGCTGGCTGGTGGTTGTTGGCTATGTTTTTGGCTTACTATTCATTTGCACATAAATGGGCAGCAGCTTGCGGACGACCAACTGATTTGCTGGCTGGCTTCGCGCTTCGACTTCAGTTGACCAGTGGTTGTTTTTTTTTTTTTTCGGAATAAAGTTGATTTAATTTGTGGATGCGCGGAGAAAGTACGGGCCGATGCTTGACTTTAGTCTGCATCGATCCCCTGCTTACTTCCTGCTGTCCGCTTGTACTAATTAACTGCTCATTAGTTTGGCCCTGCCATCTTTCACTGTCAGGTTCACAGCTTAATCACCTTATTTTGATTTCATAAGTGATTTCTGGAAGTGAGTGATACACACTCGCATCAAAGTCAATAAACAGCAGACTACCTAGCAACATATGCTTGAGCACAAATGTTGCAGCAAACAATCAAACATTCCGTTGGCAACAAGCGAAAGAGTTTGTGTTTGATTTTCGAGGTTTGCTACTTTTTTTTTTGGATTGGCGCACTAGAAGGAAACAAGAAAGAAGCAGACAAGCAGCAACAACAACAACAAAAAAACCACTAAACCGGTTCAAATTGGGTCGTAGTACTTTTGAGTGCAATTGTTACCTTTCCACTAACAACAGCAGCAGCAATGGCAACAACTCAACGCCAATCGCACTCGATCCACTCGCTGTGCAGCTCATTATGTCCGTTATTATTATTATGTTGGTGTCTTGTTCAGTTTTCTTGGCACGCGCTGCCAGCGAAAAAACCAACTCCCACACAAACAAACGAAAAAAAAAAAACCAAACCGAGCGATATTTTGTAATGACCATGTTTCGATTCGGTTAGCATAGGTCAGTCAGTTAGCTTGGCTGTGAGTTGAGCTTCTCTTCACTTCGAAATAAATTTAGTGACGAATATATTATTATATTATATTGTTATTAAAACATACAGTTTTGATTGGGTCAAATGTAGCCCTTCTGTAAGTTGTTGAAACTAAAAACCAACTCTTATAGTTCCTAAGTTCCCCATTAGTTCAATCAAACGAACATGACTAGCTCATCATTGCACGTGTCAATATTTACAACCTGTTATAATATTTCACTCTACAAGGATTGTTTGCATTTGGCTAACTTACTGTTAAGCGCATAAACATTAGAATAACGACAGCTAAACCACTTCTATAGCTACGCTGGGGTTAAAAAGGTACGCAGTACTCGACCAGACTAGTTTGTTGGCGTCTGGCGCTTGACAAAAACCAGCTGAAAGGAACACATTACCATGACCAGAGGAGCTTTCAATCTCCTTTCAAGAATGTCAGAGAAACCGAGACGGGTTCAACAGGTTTTGTACGTCGCCGTTGTTATTATGGTTATTATTGTTGGTGTTAATCATCAAAGCAGCTGTTTAATTTTAATACTATTAAACACTTGTTTGTATTAAAATATATACCCCACTTGAATGTGATGTTTATTGGGATAAAATATCGATTTGCATTTTAAGATTGTTGGTATACAAACCTCATTGATATGCAAACAAATTGAGTTACTTGCTTTAGTTCCCCGAAGTCATTTAGTATTCGCAAATGATTCACATATATATTTGGCTGTTAGGAAAATGAGTTCTTTTTTGTCAATTTGTAACTAAATGTAAATTTAGTGTAATGTAGCGGGTAACTTATAGTCGAATCACCAGCGTAACCTTTTTCATTTCGGTTTGTATTGCGGTTTTCTGTTGACATTGACATTTGCTGATGCTGACAGTATTGTGACGATCTACGATTCAGTGCAGGCCCACTTCATTGTTTCCGATGGCGAGATCAAAAGGGATTTCTCTGCAGGATGTCCAGCTGAATGCCCTCTTGGCCACTCCGTCTCAAGAGGCTCTTTGTCGGCTCGCCAGCAATCTGTTGCCTTGCCACCGAGCGTAACTCTCGAGTCAGAGTCGCTGCCTTGAAATCAGATTCCATCTCGAGGCAGATATACAATCTTGATTACGTGGTGCATACTCTACACATAAAAGAAGTTCAATGATCAGCTGAAAGACACCTTCATTCATTTTTTTAACCGTTGATCTGTCTGCCAGGGGTCAATGAATAAGCTACCTCGTGACATAATCACTGGCAATCAATTCAGACTCATCTGCCCACAACGAAATGGCAGCCAAATTTTCCACCGTTAAGTATTCTGTGTGAATCATGCTGTTAAAGTAGTTAATAGATTTATAATATAGATATGAACACACGTTCATCGGTTTATTTTAAAGGTTTATTCTGCTCATCTCAAGGATCATTACACTGGAAACTCAATGAAGACGACATTGTGGTCTCAGGCAGTAGATTTTGCTTATATTTGTCACGTTCGGTTCTTGCGTGTTTCTCTCGAAACGATCCCTGAATTTCGAGTGGCTTGCAATTCGCTCCAAATCATTCCATCACATTCAATTCGCATAAAACATTTCTAACGGCTCAAGTGTGTTCCATGCACACGCCTCAAAGTGTTTGAATATGTTTAAGGAGTTTTGCATGCTTGGCGAACCCTCAAAACAAAAATCCAAGGCTGTCGTAACCAGAATTAAAACAAACTAAAAACACACGATGGTGGAACTCATCGTCGTAATTTACATAAATATTTTCGGCCACGCATAATACGCATTGCTGTAGGTCTGAATTAAAAACAAGAGCCGGAATCGAATTTCTAGCCAATGATCTTGCCTACTTGTTTGTATCAATCAGCGGAGCATAGAAAAACAGTAAAGAAATCCCAAGAAGGCGACCCAATCTTTCCCAGTTTTGCCAGTACTCAAACGTTTTCTCTCCACACAGCCGCTAAAATCAGCAGTACCCGTTCACCAGAGGAAGCCATCATCATGACGGCCATGCCCGTGGTTTGGTGCACCGATCCCAACTCGGTGAACAACAAGCCCACGGCCTTCGCCCTGCACGGAATCCAGCTGCAGGGCAATGTGACCGAGAAGCAGGTCCATGCCCTCCGCGAGCTGGTCAACGCCGCCGCCGAGGGTCGCCTCATCCTGCCCTCGGACGGCACCTTTACGCTGCTGGACAGCGGGCTCAGCATCGAGAGTTCAATCGTGGAGCAGGAGTCGGGCAACTCGATGCCCATCAGTGCGAATGGTGAGCCAGGTCAGTTGGCCCAGGCGAAGAGTGCCAAGAACACGTACATCCTGATGCCCGTGAGCAAGGCGGAGGGTTCTTCGCGGCAGGGAGGAGTAGCAGGAGGAGTAGGACCATCGGGACAGGCCATTGCAGCCGCTGCCGCCCAACTGGAGTTCCTGCTGGAGCCCAAGTACTCCCCAAGTACGCCCCCCGAGACCCACTCCGATGAGGAGGCCAATGCGGAGGAGGGTGAGGCTGGAGGAACAGAAGAGATACTGTACGAGTTCCTGTGCTGCGCCAAGTGCATGAACGAGCAGCGCACCGGACCCACATGCGCCGGGCGTCGACTGCAGCGCTATTTGAGGACCAGCGTCGGTGCCAGCGGCAGAGGCAGCGACTACGAGCCGGTCAACGACCCGGCTACGTGGCAACTGCAACTGGATCCTGTCAGCAGCATTGCCAGCAAGTACGCCCGCCGACAGCAGCGTCACAGGCAGCACGGCACCGTCTCCATGGGCATTGCACGTAATCGAAGCCATCGCCATCACAAATTACCCATGCACAGTGTTAAAATCTTTCATAATCGCAGCACTTACACGCCAGCAACTGCAACTACAATGGCTACAGCAACAGGAGCAATGCCAATCGCTGTGGGCGGAGGCCGAGTGGTGTCGTCAGTTTCGTCGCCGATGGCGATGGCGTTGACGATGACGATGCCGATTCCCAGTCCGATTCCAATTCCGATTCCGAGCTCGAATCCGAATCCGAATGCGAATCCAAATCCGAATTCCAAGCCCAGTGCAGCGAATAGAGCGAGCGTTGGCAGTGAAGCGTTTAGTTTGTTAGCGACAGCGGCGCGATCTACATCTACATCGGTGACAGAAACAACGACATTGCTGGCGCATCTGCCCCTCTACGCTGTGGTAAATAAGAATCGCGACTTGGCGACCGGTGGCCAGAAGACTGAGACTGACTTATCCGCAACCACCATGCTGGCCGTGGTGCCCGAGGAACCGTCGTCGTCGCCATCGTCGTCGCCACCATTCACCATAGACGGACGCGATCTGATCAGCTTCGACGACGACCAGGCGCAAGTGTTGGGTGTTGAGGTGTCGGACTTGGGGCATGGTGGCCAGCAGGCGGCCGCCACTGCTGTGGACCTGCTGAGCGCCCCCAACGAGGAGGATATCCTGCTGGCCCTGCTGGAGACACCGCCCGCCACTCCGCCCAAGCCCTGCTCGCCGGGCAGCAACAACTCGAGCCGGAAGACGAGCTTCGACTCCACCAGCACCCTCAGCTCCATGGACTCTGGCTTCATGGAGATGCAGAACAAACTGGAGGCCCTGGCAGCAGCGGCAGCAGCGGCGGCGGCAGCAGCTGTGGCAGTGACCACATCTTCTGGCGAAGCAACGGCAGCAACATCGTCGTTACCGAGTGGCGAGAAAATCGAGCGACGCAATTACAAGGAATGTCTGACGCAGTCGCGAAATCGCCGAAAATCCTACGAGGAGTTCAAAGCCATGTTCGTTGAGGAGGCAACAGGGCCAATGTCCATGCCACCGACGGTGGCAACAGCGGCGGATGACGCAACAGCAACATCAGCAACATCAGTAACAGCCAGCAGCAACACTGTGATCCCACTTTCCTCCATTTCAGAACAAGAAACCACAGGCAGCAAACCGGATTGCGTAAACGAGTTTGCTGCCGCCGCCGCCGCCGCTGTCAGTGCCGATGAAATGGATACCGGCGACGGTGACAGCGATGGTGAAAAAGGCGCTGCTGCCGAAGGCGATCTAACAGCAACAACAACCGCAGCAGTAACAACACCTTTAGTAAGCAGCACCACCACAGAGGCGATGCGAAAGAATTCGGATTTTCTATCGCAGATTCTCGATCATCAATTTGCGGCCAAGGAGCGAGCCAAGGCGCACAAGCGTCGCACTTCGTACGAGGAATTTAAGCGTCTGGTTAACGAAATTGAGCCGCTGGAATGCCCATACACCCCGCCACTCGCCTCATCTGTGGTCGCACCCACAGCAGCAGCCGCATCAGCAGCCGCATCAGCAGCGGTAGCAACATCGCCACTAAAGCGTCAGAATTCGCGGCAGCGTAAGAGCTTCGCCAGTTACTTTCTGCCGCGCCGGCACTCGACCAAAGAACAAAAGACTGACAAGGAGAATGTACCGTCGCAGGAGCATCAACAGCAGCAGCAACAGCAGCAGCAGCAGTTGGCGTTGTACAACAAGTTGCCATCCTCTCGTGGCAGCGATAGCTCCAGCACCCATTGCAGGCGCAATTTCAAGATCTACGACAAGCTGGTGTACGGCACCATCTATGACATTATCCAGCGCAAGAACGACATCTACCAGAAGTACGACAAGTACATGACCTACGGCACCATCTATGAGATCCTGCACCGCAAATCCTCGCAGGGTGGCGAACGCTGGCAGCGCAAGAGCCTCAGCTCGATCCTGGAGGGCACTCGGTCCTCGGGCGACGTCATCTACGACATTGTCCAGCGGCGGGAGCGTGAGAGGCAGCGTCAGCAACGCATTCTGGAAGCCACCACTCCGGCCACTGTATCCGCGATCAGTCCCCACAAATACGGAACAATCTACGACATTTTGCAGGGTGAGAAACTGGATGCCAATCATGTCAGCAGTAAACCTCAAGACTCCAAGCCACCACAGGCCAAGCCAACGCGCTTCGTGGTCAGCCAGGTGGAGGAGTCCGTTCAGACGCCGCCAGTGGATCAGCCGGATGCCAGGGTCACGGATCCGGGTGTCGCAAAGTCCAGCAAGCCGCACAAGATGCGTCGCCTGTCGCATATCCTTAACTACAGCCGAAACACTGGCGATGATCAGCTGGATGCAGCTGGAAAGGAGGAGGCCAAGCAGAAGCGCAGCCAGGCCAAGCGGCGGATCGGGGTAACCAACCTGCTGCTGCCACTGGACTCCGAGGAGCTCTATACCCGCATCATAGCCCAGCAGCGGAGACTGGAAAAGGAGCGTGACCAGGATCCAGAGGCGGAGAGTGGCAGCGACGCGGAATTGTATCCTCGCGTGACCGCGCTGACCAAGTCCAGTTCGCTGGATGCCATCTCCCTGTCGGTGGCCATTTCGCCCGCATCCTCGCCCTCACCCCCGCGTCCCCGTCGCAGCCTGAAGCAGCATCGGTGCCTCCAGCAGCGCCAGCCAATTCCGCTGGTCAAGAAGCACTCCCTCGACAACTGCCTTCAGATGGCTTCGGCGGCGGCGGCGTCGGCGGCGATTCCCAGTCGCCAGCCGCTCCGTCGCTGGTCCAACCAGACGCCCCTGAAGTGCACATGCCATCACCACCACCACCACGCCGCCGCCGAGGAGCTTCCGCTGACCGCCAATGAGAAATCCCGCTCGCTGCCCACCGCCTGCTCCGCCCCCTGCCCCCATACGTGTCCAAGCTCAAGTTCAAACGATCATAGTGGCCCGGCCACAACAAAGTCCTTCGGCAAATCAACATCAACATCGACAACGACGACGACGACGGCCAAGAAAGGCAAATCGCGTCGACTTTCAGAATTTACGCGCGGTGAATTTTTAAATGAAAAATCGTAAGTTTAGCCCCCTATGCTCTGTCTCACTCACACTTGCTCCCTTCTCCCTCATCGAAAAGATTTTTGGTATTACAAACATTTATTTCTGATAAGAGAATATTGGGAATTTCTTCCCATTCCCATTTCCTTCATGAACATTTATTTGTTATAAGAGAATATTGGGAATTTTTTCGCATTCCCATTTCCTTCAGGAACATTTATTTCTGATAAGAGAATATTGGGAATTTCTTCTCATTTCTATTTCTTTCATTAACAATTCAAATTCAGTTGGCAGTAATTGGGATTTAAAGCACTGTTAGGATTTTCAAAAAATAACAATTTAAAGTTCAAGTACAGAACAATATACATTATACTCATTTCTATTCTTCTAACTCATTGGCAGTGGCATTTTAAGTTTTCCTTCGCCCTACAACATTGCTTATGCCAAAATTTTCCACTGCAACCGAAATTGGTGAAACAAACGTCAACTTCAAGGCCAAATCGCTTCAAATTGGTTCAGCGCTTGGAATTTGCATATGAATGCGAATGCGAGCAGAAAAAAATGTCTGAGCAAACTTCAAAACACGTGCTGCCCAGGCCAAACCGAATCGGGCTAAGTGAAGCACTCGCAGAGGCCAAAACATCCAATCCCAATCCCAATATCAAGCCAATCCATCGCCCACTTGACCACTTGGTTGGTGGGGGGAACATTCAAAACTGTGTGTCGAACAATGTTTGTTTATGGTTTAATTGGGGGGAAAAAAAAAACCGAAAAACGGTCACGACTTTCGTCGCCTAATGAACTTCTTCGTCGGCCTGTAAATGAACGGTAAATGTGGCCGTTCATTCGGTAGTCAAATATAGCAGGTTAATAACGTTAACATTAACGTTGGACGTGCCCGAGTGTCTCACTAACTCGCACCCACAATCACAAACGTACCCATGTGGTTACAACACTCGATCGAACTGGCCAATAGACGCATATACTGACGTTGGAGAGTGGAAAAAAGAGAAAGATTAACACATTTATATATAGCCAATTTTGGCTAAATGCCTATAAAGTCTCCTTCTTAAGAGTTGAACCCAAACTTGCGGTTCTTATTGATCCCAAATTCCAGTGTCTTACCATTTTGCTCATCTGTAATTACACAATTATGTTATTAAGCATTGAAACTATAGCAGCTTGTTATTATTGGCAATAGTTTTGCCATTACTCACCCTTGTTGTTGATTGATTTTCCCTAGAACGAACGAAATAAATTGCCAATCAAAGCTAATGACTTAGAACAGATGGTGAATTCCTTAATAACTGATTGTTTCTGGAATGAAGGAAATTCAATTTACTTAAAAATTCTATAACTTTGTAAAATGCAGTAGTTCTTAACTATTGTGTTTGAAAAGTGCCCCTTAAATTGCTTACTTGTTTGTACAAAGATGATAGCAGTTTCTTCGCAATTAGCCGACTATCTCTCGTTGCGCAACAAAGTTTCTGCTATTCTACCACCACTCCCACTAATGTCAATCATTTCAGTGACTGTCACTCGTAAGATTATGCACTGATCCACTGTTCTAGCGTCGAGTTATCAATTTTCTCCCAAATTAAAAAACCATTACAAGTGCAACGGCGAACCGTCGTCGATTGGCGTGCTAAAGTGCAGTTTCATTTCGGTGACAATGTTTCTATCATGCCAAAAACTAGCAGACCTGCCTAAACACTGTACTTAAATGCTATTGTAGCGGAACAACAAGCAATAGAAAATGGACTGGGTGCAGTTGCTTCGCCTGCGATTAGTATTTACTTTGTCAACGTGATCTAAAGTCGATCATTTCCTGTGGCTGCGTCACACCGTGGCTAATGCATTAGCATTAGCATTAGCATTAGCAGTGGCAGTGGCAGTGCTAGAAGTGCTCAGTAATAATGGGTTTCTGATGCCATCAGACGAAGGCATACTAATATCAAGTACACGCAAAGATAGCTTGGCTAATTATTTTTTGCGAGCGCACTCAAGCGGAATGCAGTTTTGGACCTGCCCAAAAAAGTGGCGAACGTAACGTAACTGCATTCGTATTGTTGTATTTCGATTCGTTCTGCTTTTGCACATGCTACTCACAGAAAAATCTCGAACGAGCATTCAAATCGTGTCGGGCTGTGGATAACGAAATTGACATTGAATTGCCTCATGTTTTAATCAGCAATCACGATTTCAATCAATTTTCCGCCACAAAAGTCGAGAATTTGCCAAAATCGTTCTCTCGCATGTTAGTCGCCAAATCACTTGGCGAATAGCTATGTAATTCTGGGAAAGTGACCACTGATATTATAGCCGGAACTTGATCATTTGCTAGTCTGCCATTTGCGATCGCATCGTTAAAGATGATTGGCCATGGCAGACGTGGCTTGAACGGTTCTGGAAAAATACGTTTTAAGGCGAAGGGAGGTACAGGTACAGGTACTGGTACTGGTACTGGTACTGGTACTGGTACTGGTACCCTATCCTGCTCGCAATCCTTGCATTAGCAAATAATTTATCCATAAAAACCAAATCTATTGCCCCGGCTGGACCAGACCACGCCAATCCAAGCCAAGCCAAGTCGAGCAAAGCCATGATGCCTGGCCATATTTATTTTTAGATGCATCGAACTGGTTGCCTTCCCAGCTGCTCGTCGTTGTCTGCACTGATTTGGAATTTGTGCAGCAAGTGTTTCTGTATGTTGTGTGCTGCGCACTCCGTCTTAGGCATCCAGGCATCCAGGCATCCTGTCCAGCCCGCAGTCTGGTTCAATTAAATGAGCCCCTTGCATCCAGCTCACATTTCACAGGCCAGGCAAGAAGAAAAACAGCATTTGACCAGGCACATTGTTATTATTCGATCGATCTATCCATCTATGTATGCTTCGCGGTGTATGCGTGTGCTTATTTAACCAGCATATCCCGATCCCGATCGGCTCCGCCGCCAGCTATGAAATTGCATTGGAAATTCACTGCAATTGGCGCCATCGCCATCCAACAATTATGTGTGGCTCCAATCGCTTTAACTTGAATTGGCTTGGCTTGGCTCGGCTCGACTTGGCTTGGTTTGGTTTGGTTTGGTTTGGTTTTAAAAATAGCCACATGCCTCGAGCAGCCAGTTGTGGTCCACAACTGTCAATTGCCGAGTGCGTTTCAAAGGCTCGTCGAGATGGCCAACAACAGTAGCGCTACCGCACTGGCAAACTCGAATGCCGGAAATGAAATTAGTTTTAAGCAACAGATAGACAATACAGCATAGTAATAGTATTTCTGCTTAAAAGCATTGAGGTTTTTCTAATGGAATGGGGGAAATCTCTTTCAATTTTCTTTTATTGCTTATAATTAAGAAATCGATCATTTTCGGTTTAAACAATTACACTGTGGTACAACTTTTCTGACTTAAAAAAAGACTTTTTAAACATAGTTATTTGCAGAAGAGTGCGGCAACTTTATTTTCCACACATTTCTTAAAACAACATTTGTATGGGTCCTCCCACTTTTCCACTAATGTTCGAAAGCAAAGAAATGTGGCTTCTGGTCATGTTTTCGAAGAATATAAAAACAAAATTCATTCACCTGTGAGGTTCACAATCGCAATTATTATTTTTATTTAACATTTATTTTGGAGTAACATAAAACGAATTAATAACTTAGACATTCAATGGATACCTTTGCTCATTACCTACTGTAAACATCAATTCATTGACTAACAAAGGATCAGTAAACAAAATTACTCTTCAATCTGCTTATCAATGCGCTTGTTGACCGCCATTAAACACGGCAGATGCAATCAGCAACTTTTGTTATGTTTGCTGAATACAAACTGAGTATATTCCGCCATCGAAACGCCATTCGTATCATTGTGGAACTCAATCGTGGCCGATTGCATGGTGTATTATCGCATTTGCAGTGTCCAGTTGCTGGCTGTTAATTAATAGCGGCTGAATGACGCAGCTCTGGAACGATATTTACACAATTTGCTCTGCTCTGCAGCTGGTGACTGAGCCCTCGGATTTCCTGGTGATTCAGTTGCGTGATCTGGTTTTTTCCCAGCGACGTCAGTTCTAGCCTTAATGTTTTTGTTAAATGTTTCTACCCTTAATGTTTTTCTTAAATGTAAATTTCTTTGACGCGTCAACGGCTATTCCAAATTCTTATCGAGGGAGTTTTTTTTTTCAACAAACTAAAGCCTCTTTATTAACTAACTAACTAACGAAACAATCTCTTATTCGGCTTACAGCAAATACAGTAACATCTTGAGTGAGCAGTCGCAAAAGCTCTTTTATGTTTTGAACAATAAATAATATATCTTTTAGTTGGAATTGTGGAATTTTCAATTTGTAACTAAGCAGATGTTTTAGACTGAGATTAGTGCCAGTAAACAGTTCATACATGTTCTAATTTCTTCCAAATTTTTAAGTATATGTTGTAAAATTGGAAAAGAGTTTAAAAATGCCAGCGAAAAAAAGGCTTCACTGTATCATATATTGACTTGCCGAGGGGCCACTATGATTGCCCAAACGCTTCTAATTAAGTATGTGAAAATAAATATGTAAGACGTTCAGCGGATGTTGGGTCTCTGTGGCCAGCAGCCAATTACAGAGAAAGTGACAGTGCAGCAGCAGTCCGGACTGCATGTCTACATGTCGTATCAGGTCCATTTTTCCCGGTCGACCAATAAAAATTGTACCCCAATTAATAGGCGTTTGAAAGAGGAGAGGCGGGGCCGCTTTTTTTCAGGAATTCACTAGAAATATCCAATAGGTAATAATACAAATGAAGTTCGGGGGAAACTACTTGGACAACAAATTAGCAAATGCAAATTTCGAGTGATAATGTTGGTAAAGATGGAGATCATCGCCAGCTGGGAAGTTCACACCATCTTTTAGCCATTCACGTGACGTGTTGAGAACCAAACCAAACCGAACCAAAACCAAAACCGAAACCGAACCAACCCGTTTCGATGGTGTCCGCTAACAGATTTCACAAACAATGCCGGACTTCGTCATGACCTGCTTCAATGAGTTTTAGCAAAAGGCACCTCCAGAAGGAAGGAGGAATAGAGAACGACCACAAGCAAGCGATTGACAGCGGCTGACGAGGCCAACCGTTGCTCGAATCCATGCGAGTTGCCAAAGTTAGTGGCGTCTGGCCCAATTGCCTCGAGTGAATGGAAACGGGTGCGAGGAAATCAGTCCAAAAGGCTCGGTCAAAACGAGGCGGCGGGCTAACTCATGTCAATCAAGTTGAAGTAGGCTCAAAGCTCGTCATGTGGGTCAACTAACTATCGGGCCAACCAAAAATTGGAGCAGGTTCTCCATTCATCCCAGTGTGAGGCCTCCAAAAACACGGACTTGCCCATCATGGCCAATCGATTCGCCAGCTAATCTAATTTTAACTCAAAAGTGCATGCGTTCCAGGTTGGTGCTGTGCAGGCTGGCCAAGTGCAATTAAGTTACCAGCTAAAAACTAGCCAAACTTGTTGCCACATAGATCGTACATGCATCTCGACATCGCCATCGGCATCGTTCCATTAGCCATGGCCAAAAAAAAAGGCCCAAAGCCATGTTTGGGGCGTAGAAAAATTGTAGAAGAAAAAACGAAAATCCTCCACGCCTCGAACGCTGTTTTGTATATATTTTTAGACAAAATCGAATAACATTGCGATGCCGTGTTTAAAAATAGCTGCAAGTGGCTGCCACTGCGGTAAGTCGACAGCCACAGACCACGATGTTATGGAAGCTGCGCATGCGCTCGCTTTGGTCATTTAATTTTGGCTCTACTCTGCCATCTTGTGCCAAGTTTGGTTTGCTCTCTATGCAGTTCACTTTGCCATTCTGAGTATGGGTAAAATCTTGCTCCAGAATAAGCTTCTATGAAAAAATAAGTTCTTGGGTTAGAAAATCACTTATTAGAAGACCTACATCTAAACCAATAATTTATGTAATTTTATTATAAGAAGTTATTTAGTTATTAAGGATTTTTCATTGTAAACTCCTTAATGTTTGGGTTTATTTCTCTAAAGAGCAGCCAGTATTCGCTGTTGTAGATCGTGTCAGTTGATCGTGAGGAGGTATCATGTTTTGTTTGCGCTTCTCATCCGGCTGGATCGCCGCGCCACCGGCATTAGCTAGCTGCTCCTAACAACTCCGACAGGATGCCCATTCCCGTCGTCGTCGAGTTGTCTTGTGTGTAATTAAATCGTGTTGCATATTTATGAAAGTCATGCATGCACATAAATGGTCGGACCAGGCCAACAGAGTGGCTATAAATACGCTCGCAGCCGGAGCAGCCTCCTCTACGAGTGGAGCAGCCAAACCCCTGGCAACGCACATTTAATGGCGTCTTATAAACGCTTATTGGCGTAATAGACACGTGCTGCCGAGGATTCAGGCAGCCCTGCTGCCCCCCGCGTCCATGGCTCGTCAATCAATCAAACCGTATGCAAACACGCCTTCCATTCATGCGCATGTTCAGCCAAGGCATCATCATCATCCTGTTGACTGGCAAATTGCTAGATGACTTTGTTGCAACTTCCAACTGGATGTTGATGATGATGATGATGGCAGTCAGGCATTCAGGCTGCTGGACAAACAGACATCAAATTAAAAGTGCCCGGCCTGGCGAGCACTTTGACTGCGGGAGACAAGTTCTGTTAATAATACCTTTAAATGGCTTTGCGCAATCAAAATTGGTTGGCTACAAGACTCGACCGTCACTGAATCAGTGCCAGAGTGGATTTCTATAGGGTGGTAGTTGACTTCCTGCCTTTTTCTTTTGTTCCGAACTGCCTCGTTTCAGATTTTGATATAGAGAAATTATTATCGTTCCTGTCGCTTTCACTTTTCGAGCCTCGTTCAGAACCAGCAACACTCTAGCTTAACGAACCCCTTTCCTCTTGTGTGTGTGTATGTGTGTGTGTGTGCATTGAAAAGAAAAGTCCCCCTTTTCATATACCCACTATATGTATGTATGTGCGAGGAGCGGCTAACCCATATAGAAAGCATACACATACACCATACACAACACCACAACACACGACTTCATCGTTTCTCGGCACACAGATTTGGCCACGCTTCTGTCATCATCCGTTATCTGGCGTTCGTCACGAACTCCAAAATTGTGAATTGGACTGTTATGTAAGAGATCTGTCGATCTGGCTGTCACACACATCATTTAATTGACCACCTCCTGCTGTCGAAGCGACAAAATGAAAGAAAGAGAGGTAGATGAAGAGAGGGGAAGACGACCGAAGACGATCACATCCAGTTACTTTTCTTTATTAAGGTCAATGTTAATGTTTATGCTGCATTAAATCGGATTGAAATATTTCGTTTGAAATGTTTGTTTTATATGCCGAAACAGAGTAATAAATCATGTCGAATCGATGGCAGCTTTGTTTAGCAAGTGAAATCTTTAGACTATATTATTATCATCTGCTGATTTCAACTTGCTAATTGCCAAGTTCAGATAGCGATCAATATGCATATCAGACACCTACAATTTCCTTCGTTTATAAATTGTGATTCGGAAGTGCAATTTTTACAGCTCTGCGACACCTTCGGTAGTAAATTTAATTTGAATGGGTTTTAAAATATTCACAGACCCAATTGTATAATGATTAAGTGAATAAAAAAGAGAACATTAAATGGGCAATTCCAAATAGGCAGCACGTACCAAATGATACTCATAGATGGAGAGTATCTCTAGTTCTCCCACACGGGAAAAATTGTCTGAGGAGAAGGCATGGAACGGTGTAACCTCGATAGAGCGGTTTCCTTAATAAAATTACCCGATTTATGACAAAAACTCAACACTTCGTGCTCTGTTAAAATATTTTCACTTACCTTCCATACTCATACTAATTTCCTCCTTCTCGGCGATTGTCGCTTTTTAATTGCAGTTGGTACTTCCGCAAAATCAAACGCATTGAGGCTGAGAAAAAACTTCTACTGCCAGAGAACGAGCACGGTGCATTTTTAATTCGAGATTCCGAGAGCCGTCACAACGACTATTCGCTATCAGGTGCGTGCCTAAACAAGGCATTCAATCAATTAGCATTATTGTGCATTATAATTGTATTGCGCGGGTTACTAATGTGTAGTGGTGTGGTGTTTTTTTCTTCTTTTTGAATGCATTTTGCAGTGCGCGATGGCGATACGGTTAAGCACTATCGCATCAGACAATTGGATGAGGGCGGCTTCTTCATTGCCAGACGCACGACCTTCAGGTGAGTTGTCATCAGCCGAAATTGCCAGTGAGCAGCCGCATTGACACCTCTTACATCTTACATCTTACCCAAAACCACGCAAACAGAACCCTCCAGGAGCTGGTCGAACACTATTCCAAGGACTCCGATGGCCTGTGCGTCAACCTCTGCAAGCCGTGTGTCCAGGTAAGATTACATGGCAAATGGGGTCCCACTGTAGCCATTGTTTGCTTTGGTTTAATCGCGCATTATACATCCGACTTGCCGCCAAATGTGTGGATGCGTGGTACAATGATAACATTTGCATTTGACATTGTTATGCCTTGGTTTCTGTTCATTTCGAAATGGCCAACACACGTGTATACTAAAGAACTGTTTTTATATATTTTCCTTGTATTTCTTTCATGTTTCTTTAATTAACACCTAATTATGTCTGTAAAATAATAACAATACAAAACGATAACCAAACCAACTCGAATATAAACAAAATCAAAAGACAAATTCTTTTTCGGGTGTCTTTGAGGTAGGATTTCTATCTAAAACGTTTATGATGTGCGTGTGTTTATATCCCATTAACACAACAGTACCAAAAACCAGAGTCCATTCTGTCACCGCCAATCAACACCCTCACAAAGAATTAAATTAACCGATCATATGCCATTAATGTAATATCGACTCTAATGCCGACAATCCAGACAAACCAGACATGAGCTATGGGCATGCAGTCAGCGTTCAAAAGCAGTTGAGACGACGATCCCTGGCACATGACATGACATTCCAAAGCACCACCCACCCTTTTACAATATAAATCACAATCAAATCTTAATATTGCGTGTTTAATTAATGCCAAAAGGCAGTGAAGGGCTTAAACGTTTTCAAGTGTGCACTTAACATCAATATGTATGCACGGGTTAAAACTGATATTTTGCACTCTGACTGTTTGCCTTTGAACCCCCCGAATAATGACCCTGCAATCGTTTCACATCCGTCCCAACCTTTAATGGAACAGATACAGATGCTTGTAATTTGTAAATAAGGCCTAAATGTACGCTACAATTCATTGCTCAATTGGCACAATCATTTCTCCAAGTCGAACACAGCTGCGCCTCAAAATGTGCAATAGAAAAGGCATTTACTAATTGATTTCTCTACCCACTACCATGCATCGCAGATCGAGAAACCCGTCACCGAGGGACTCTCACATCGCACTCGCGATCAGTGGGAGATCGACAGAACGTCCCTCAAGTTCGTGCGCAAACTGGGCTCTGGACAGTTCGGTGATGTCTGGGAGGGACTGTGGAACAACACGACACCTGTGGCCATTAAAACTCTGAAATCTGGTAAGTCCGATGGCTTAAAGCTTAAGACCAAGCTCTCTTCTGTGGTTTGCTAATATTCGCTTATGTTCTGTCTTCAGGCACAATGGATCCCAAGGACTTCCTGGCGGAAGCCCAGATCATGAAGAAACTGCGCCACACCAAGCTCATACAGCTGTATGCGGTCTGCACTGTGGAGGAGCCCATCTACATTATCACAGAGCTGATGAAGCACGGTTCACTGCTGGAATATCTCCAAGGTATGGCAAGGACCAAACCAGTGCGACAACGAGTCTCATACCGAAACTTTTGCTGCTTGCATTAACCAAATTCTGAATCGAACAGTCTCTGTACACCTTATTTCATGCCACGCAACGTCAACATTGCAAACAACCAAACAATCCAACAACCAACCAAACAAACGCTCGCTTATCATGTCATATGTCAATTGCTTATTTTTGTTTTTAATATCTTTTAGCCATTGCAGGCAAGGGTCGTAGCCTTAAAATGCAAACTCTGATTGACATGGCGGCGCAAATAGCTGCTGGCATGGCCTACCTGGAGTCCCAGAATTACATTCACAGAGATTTGGCGGCACGCAATGTGCTTGTTGGCGATGGCAACATCGTCAAGATTGCCGACTTCGGCTTGGCCAGGTAATTACCACACGAAGCTGCAAACTAAAGTAAATCCTATTAATATTTGAAAAATCAAACCTGCTCAGGCTCATCAAGGAGGACGAGTACGAGGCTCGAGTGGGCGCCCGCTTCCCCATTAAATGGACTGCTCCCGAGGCGGCCAACTACAGCAAATTCTCAATCAAATCGGATGTCTGGAGTTTCGGTATTCTACTCACAGAGCTGGTCACCTACGGACGCATACCATATCCAGGTGAGTCCAAACCCTTCCGAAGTTGTTGTACAATGTAATTAAACGAATCGTCTACTCGCTTAGGCATGACCAATGCCGAGGTGCTGACGCAAGTGGAGCATGGATACCGAATGCCGCAGCCGCCCAACTGCGAGATGCGGCTGTACGAGATCATGCTGGAGTGCTGGCACAAGGACCCGATGCGCAGACCCACGTTCGAGACGCTCCAGTGGAAGCTGGAGGACTTCTACACATCCGATCAGAGCGACTACAAGGAGGCGCAGGCCTACTGATAAATGCTTCGCGGAGTCACGGACGCGGCCAGCAGCCGTGACGAGAAGCCAGACAGCTGCAAATAATCGCCGGGCATCCCAACAACGGACAATTCTTACTAAGTTACTTACTTGAGTTTTGCATAGATTTTCTACTGTTCAATCGCACACCCTGGGTGCTCTTGGGTTCGCTTGGGTGTGCTTGGGAGTCGTCTAGGTGACTCCATACGATGATACGATGATTCATGTTATTAGCGTTTAAGCTAACAAATAGTTGCTAAGGTGGAATGCAATTTCAAAGGACGTTCCATTGGGACATTCGTTTTTGTTGTTTATTATGACAAACATATTGATAGTTGGTCGAATTGATGCGTTCTAACACCCTTGTCGTACTTTTCGGTTAGCATATCACATGTATTATTATTCATATAACGCATATAGCATATACATACGCGCATACACACTTATATATATATATATATACGAACACTTATATATAGTATATACAAACGTACAGTCAGACGTATGCCGATGCCCTTCCATTATTCAAATATGCAAGCACACACACCCACTTACCCACCCTACCCTATTTTTCTTTAGTTTATAGGCCAATCTGAGAACGATATTTGCAGCACACAAATATGAACGAATGTTTCGCTTTTAGTTAATTCATTACATACATACGTGTCTTACCCAACTCTCACTCAACATTATCAACGACATTATATGCTTTATCACAAATAGGAAAAGTAAAAAGCAACACAAACGCCAATCATCAAGTGCTAGCTATACGCTATACGCTACTTTGCCGCGCGCAACAGCAAAAATCCATATGATTAATTTTTTTAGACTTTAATTGTAATTTGTAACCATTTAATAATATTCAGCTTATGATTAAAACACATACACATATACGAAAACATGTACATTTAGAACCAAGAAAATAAATTTCTTCATTATTTATAAATCTAAAATCCAAGCAATTCTATGGAATCGAAATCGCAAGTCTTTACTTATTGTTACAACCTTTGAAAAACAGGCATTCAATAATTTCATTGATATTTTAATGACAAATTTCACTTGCAATCAGCTGTCATTTAAAAAAAAATAGGTTTCCTAATGAAATGCAAACTATTAAGATCTTAAAGAATTTTAAATTGATTTTTTTAAAATCCAATTTTAATTGTAAATTTGGGAAAACAAATACTTTAAATTGACTTTTAGCAAATGTTGCCTAAGTTTTGGCTTTGTTTTTCCCATTTTTCAAAGTTTTACCAATAACAATACTAGAAAACGTTTATTTAATAATACAAGTACACAAACAAATTTTTCGAATATCTTAAATCATGACGAATTTGAAAGGAATTTGTTTTAAGCTCTTATTATTTTTCTCTGCCATGAGTAATTGCCTATTCATAAATGAAAATAAGATAGCCGATTTTGCAAAACTTGGTTACGCAGGACCGATTGTATTAGATTTATGGGTGTACAAGCTTTAGATGGCCGTAATATGCTTTTTATTGATTTATACTGCTTTGGTGAGTATGTTTGTGAGTGGATAGGAGAGAGCGTCGGGCGATTCTGTTCTTCCAGAAAGCCAATAGATCCATTTAACCCATTTTCAATGCGTAATCTATTTACATTTACTTTGAAGAATGCATTAAACGAAGGCTGATTTTATTAATGTATGCTAACCTTAGAATGAGTTTTATGTAGTCTGTAAAAAGTACTCTGAAATCTGTCATTATAATCTAGATCTGTACTGAAATGCACAAAATATTTAAGTATGTGTTTAAAGAGGCGTAATACTGCCACTGAAGCAACTTTAATCAAAACATACCGAGTTCAGCGAACCTCTCGATTTATTTATCCAATTTGGTGCGCCATACGACATAAGAATGGTGATTAATGCAACTTATTTAACTTTTAACAAAGAATGTCATATTTAATATGTAAAGAAATTATATTGAACAAATAGTAATCATGTATAACGATCGATTTCAACGTCTATTTAAAGAAGATGGATGGCTAGTTTTCCAATCAAAGTAATGTAGAAAATAAGAACATATATATGCTTACCCCAACTGACACGATATATATATATATGAATAAAGTAATATAATTATTTTTAAAAAGTTCGCTTTGATCTATGTACGTACGACAAGCGCTCCAAGTATGGACATTGGCGGTCAACGCAAGTCGGCTCCACTTCTGGCCATAGTTGATTAAATTTGGTCAATGCGATTCCCCGGACCAGATCGATCACCCATAGTTTGTTTAGAGATCCCTCCCCCCCTCCTCCCCCTAAAATGTCGCTCTGTGCGCTTCACTCCCCATTCAGACAATGCGGATTAGGGGTGCGCCACGCTCCCGTACCGCTCCGCCCAGCCCATAAACGAACTCGAACAAACAATGCCAATTGATGACTGCGACTACTCCAAACATTCGTGAGTGAGTCAACAATGCGGCTTTGTGCTTTGTTTTCGCCTCGATTTGCGATTTGCAGTGGCCAGTGTGAGTGCGAGTGCGCGTGCGATTCTCCTCCACTATTTCCTTATAAGGCAATGCTGGTGCAGCTGTTTTTGGGGTTTGAGGTTTGGGGTTTCACTTGCAATCAATCAATGTGAAACTACCGCTAATCATGGGCGGGGTCGTGTGATAAGCGGAGCGAATCCAGGCTGATTCACCCACCCACCCAGCCATATGCATAGATATCCGTGGCCGGCGGAAATCGCCGGCAGAGAGCTGTCCACCAAGTGATTGGTTATCAACTCACTTCCTGCAAACCGATGCTTGCTCGCATCTGACTCAAACACACAAACACCAGAGCAGAGCAGAGCAGGCCGCCTTATTAGTAAGCGCTTTATCGGCGCTTAACGCCTTCGCCGTACCGCATGCCAATGAAATGAGCGCATAGTATGTATCAGATCGCCGGTTAGTCATACGTACATATTTTAGCCAAATGCTAGTTACTACAAAAGAATAATGATTAGACGGGGGGGTTTTTTCAGTTCTTTTCGTCGCTTTATTTTTTAAGAAGCGGTTACAAGTATTTTAGTGGTATGGTATGCTTTAGTTTAATACATATGTAGGAATGCATGGAAGTTGTGATGGAAATGCCAAATCTGATACAATTATAGAGGCCAATGTGCGTATGAACTTGAATTTGGAAAAGAACACAATATGGTTTGCTTATGCGTACATGCTACAATTGTGTAAAAAAGTGTTGTGGAATGCATTCTCCCGGAAGATGCGGGTATGTTGGGCGCTTGCTCCCGGTGTTAATGTACTCATGCCAATACTTCTGACTCCCGGCCTTTGTCTGTAGTGGGCGTGTTCGGTTGCGGTGCGTTGCGAAACGACCACGCCCAACTCGGCACTCCTGCTTAGAAGCACTTGCGATGGACAATGGAAGGGCCGGACTCGTCGTACTCCTGCTTCGAGATCCACATCTGCTGGAAGGTGGACAACGAGGCCAGGATGGAGCCACCGATCCACACAGAGTACTTGCGCTCTGGCGGAGCGACAATCTTGATCTTCATGGTGGACGGAGCCAGGGCGGTGATCTCCTTCTGCATGCGATCAGCAATGCCCGGGTACATGGTGGTACCGCCGGACAGCACAGTGTTGGCGTACAGATCCTTGCGGATGTCGACGTCGCACTTCATGATCGAGTTGTAGGTGGTCTCATGGATGCCGCAGGCCTCCATGCCCAGGAACGAGGGCTGGAAGAGCGACTCGGGGCAGCGGAAGCGCTCGTTACCAATGGTGATGACCTGTCCGTCGGGCAGCTCGTACGACTTCTCCAGCGAGGAGCTGGATGCGGCCGTGGCCATCTCCTGCTCGAAGTCGAGGGCAACGTAGCAGAGCTTCTCCTTGATGTCGCGCACGATCTCACGCTCGGCGGTGGTGGTGAACGAGTAGCCGCGCTCGGTCAGGATCTTCATCAGATAGTCGGTCAGATCGCGACCGGCCAGATCCAGACGCAAGATGGCGTGGGGCAGGGCATAGCCCTCATAGATGGGCACGGTGTGGGAGACACCGTCGCCGGAGTCCAAAACAATACCGGTGGTACGTCCGGAGGCGTACAGCGAGAGCACAGCCTGGATGGCCACATACATGGCCGGGGTGTTGAAGGTCTCGAACATGATCTGGGTCATCTTCTCGCGATTGGCCTTGGGGTTGAGCGGAGCCTCGGTGAGCAGGACGGGGTGCTCCTCGGGGGCGACGCGCAGCTCATTGTAGAAGGTGTGATGCCAGATCTTCTCCATGTCATCCCAGTTGGTCACGATGCCGTGCTCGATGGGATACTTCAGGGTGAGGATACCGCGCTTGCTCTGCGCCTCATCGCCCACATAGGAGTCCTTCTGGCCCATGCCGACCATCACGCCCTGGTGACGTGGACGGCCCACAATCGAGGGGAAGACGGCACGCGGTGCGTCATCGCCGGCAAAGCCGGCTTTGCACATGCCGGATCCGTTGTCGACCACCAAAGCTGCAACCTCTTCGTCACACATTTTGCTGTAGATTGGTTGGGATCTGCAATGGAGAACAACGCCAAATATGTACACTAGAATCGGGACAGCGGCTTCTACACCAAAAGAACAATGCCAAGTACAGGCAGGCAAAAAAAAAAAAAAAAAAAAACGCAGACAGACTCAACTCCACTCCACTCCACTCCGCTTCCCGGAAAACCAGGCGGGCGGAGTGGAACGGGGCGGAGCGGAGGACTCGCGCACGCACAGACGAACAAGGAGACGGGCAGGAATCTTACCTTTTATGGAAAAATGTAAAACGAGTAGCTTTTAGTTATCCGCTGCGCAAACTTAGCACAATGACTGACGCTCTAAGATTGAATTGACCGACGCCTACTTTTTCGACTTAAAGTGGTTGAAAAGCAGTGTGACCATCTGCCACGCAAAATAATGTGCTACTTCACCAAATGAAAATACCAGAAGGCCACCGTTCAAACAGCAATTCTGGTATTTTTTCTTTATCATGGTCGCTGATATAAACTTTAAAATAACAATAGAAATATTTTGATTTGGGCCAAGGGTTGGTTATTCCCTTTTATGGCATTTGCAATTCAGTCATGTCAAAAATTTACCCCAAGAACTTGACAGCGGCTGCACATTATCTTATTATTAAAACTTCCATTTTTAGTTATTATAAAATAGAATATTTATTCACAATAAGTATCTTTAATTAAGCGTGTTTATGTAGAGTGTGTTTGGCGAAATCACACCGCTAAACAGCAAAGGTAATTAGGTGCTAGAAAATAACAATTTGTTTCGTTTAAAGTTTTATATCAGTTGCCGAAAAAAAAGACTATTTTAAAAGGGTTTTTCTAAAAAAAAATTTAAAAGGTTGCAGGAACCACAATTCTAAAATGCACAAAACACTGGTAAAATCAAATTTGGCCCAGGACACTGTTTTGAGGGACCAAACAACATTGTTTTTTTAACACACTATATTGTTAGTAATAAAGTTTTTCAAAGATCGAAAAATTAAATAAATAGCTATAAATCCTTCGTACACATTTGACCAAATGTAAAAAAAAACAGTGTGTGCCAGTGGAATCCTGCTATTTTGTTTCGGCTTCATTCAGCTAAAGACATGGCGTTTTCCAACACCGAACCTCTTTGTTTCGGCCACCCCACCCGTGCAACCTTCCCCGCTGGCCAGACATCGTCGATTCCAAACTGATAGCGGCAGCCAGGCTAGTCATCATCATCAACAACATGGTGGACATCAACCTGGAGTGTGTGCACCAGATAGAGCCGAAGAGCCGACCCACGGGCCAGCAGCAGCAGGATCTGAAGGACGCCTACCTGGAGGCGGTGCGCATTCTGCTGGTGCTGCTGGAGAACGTCCTGGCTCAGCCGGAGAACTCCAAGTTCCGCACCATACGGCTGGAGAACAAAACGATCAAGGAGAAGCTGCTCAGCCTGCCCGGCTGCGAGCGGCTGCTGGA